AGCAACCTCAAACTCTTGGGCTCAAGCAATTCTCTTGCCTCAGCCTCCCAAGTAGCTGGGACTACAGGCACCCACCACAACACCTGGCTATTTTTCTGTTGCAGTTTGGCCGGGGCCAGGCTTAATCCCGCCACCCTCGGTATATGGGGCAGGCCCCCTACTCACTGAGCCACAAGCGCCACCCAGCACTTGGCTATTTTTAGACACCGGTCTCGTTCTTGCTGAGGCTGGTCTCAAACTCATGAGCTCAGGCGATCCACCTACCTCGGCCTCCCAGAGTCCCAAGATTACAGGTGTGAGTCATTGTGCCCAGCCTTTATATACTGAGAGTTATTAAGAGCCATTTATTCCACCAGGGTGTCCAACCTGTGGCCCATAGGCCCATACAGATTATTTGAGGCTGTGTTGCTTATCTGTGGTGTCAGATACTGTGAAAAGTATGCACAGGCCTTTTTACAGGCTCGTCAGCTTTCATTTGTGTATTTAATGTATGACCCAAGACAACTCTCATTCTCCCAATGTGCAGCAGAAGAAAGGGCAGACACCCCTGTGTCCAACACAATAATTACCTCTGGGAAAGATACATAAGGTACAATGTGAAAAAATGACTTTTCAATATATAGTCTTTGAAGCATTTCACACTGTTACCGTATGTATATATTATATACTCTAAAACTGAGTACAACTCTAGGTTCAGTTACCTATTTACAGGAAATACAGAAGACATAAGAACATGTTGAACTAAGGTACAGAAATGTAAACATTAAACTCCAGACTGAAAAACTCCAGGACAAAAAAACCTGGTTTCATTAACAAAAAAACTGAAAGAGATAAAAGAGATATGTACTGCAGTGGAATCTATATATTAAAAAGGACTTAAGGTCATTACCAGCCAACTACAAGGTAGAGATAACACACAAATCCTGGTTCAAACCATTACCCAAAAAACCTACGACACTGAGACAAATGGAATTTGAACACTGGATATTTGGTATTACTATCATCCTTAAGGAATGAAGGGGTGATAGTAATATTATAGCTAAATATATATAATATTCACTTTTGATTTTTAAGAGATGGGGTCTCACACTGTTGCCCAGGCTGGTCTCAAACTCCCAGCTTCAAGCAATCCTCCCATCCTTAGCCTCCCTAACTTCTGGGATTAATAGGCATAAGCCACTGTGCCCACAGTCCTTACTGCCTAAAGATAACTACTAGACTGCAAATGAAATAATATGTGCTCCAGGATTTGCTTGAAAATAATTCATAGGAGGAAGTGGAGAGGAACAAATTAAACAAAATTGGGCATGACTTGATAATTTCCCCTCCCACAAGAGGAACTGTTGAAGTTGGGTGACCAGTAAATGAGGGTTTCTTATGTGGATTCCTCCTACTTTGTGTTAATGTCTCTAACAAATTAGAAAGTCAAGCATTTGTGAGATAAAAAAAAATGTTGTGTAAACTAACAAAAATCGGTAACTTAAAAGTGATACCACAAATCTGAATATATCTGGGGTTTAGAAAACAAGGAAAGTTAATGGTATTAACATTCAGATCAATCTATCAGTTGTTAAGTGAGATAACTGTGGTTGGGAAGGAATATCTTTTTTAAAGACACATATTAATATAGTCAGGGTAAAATAATATGACATCTAGAATTTGTTTTAAATTTTGTTAAAGATGCCCTGCCCCCACTTAAATTTAAACAAAAAACATTTTTAGATGATAAGGATAAAAAGAAATATGGCAAATAGTGCAGGTTAAAGCAAAGCAAACTGGTACATATACAAGCACTTACTGACTCTACCTTTTTTTTTTTTTTTTTGAGACAGAGCCTCAAGCTGTCCCCCTGGGCAGAGTGCCGTGGCATTACAGCTCACAGCAACCTCCAACTCCTGTGCTCAAGCGAGTCTCCTGCCTCAGCCTCCCAGGTAGCTGGGACCACAGGCGCCCGCCACAACGCCTGGCTATTTGTTGGCTGCAGCCGTCATTGTTGTTTGGCGGGTCCAGGCTGGGGATTCGAACCCGCCACCTTAGGTGTACGTGGCTGGCGCCTTGGCCGGTTGAGCTATAGGAGCCGAGCCCTGACTCTACTTTTATGTTATGTTTCCATTAAAGGTTTAATATTAGGTTATTAAGTGTGAAATGTCTGATTCCACACTGTATATCAAATCAGCAAATTGTACCCCATAATTGTACACAGTTATGATTTAATAAAATAAATAAGAGTACACAGATTGGGAGCAGGAGAGTAAAGGGTATCAGAAGGGGAGTAACTAGATAAAAGGGAGATATTATCTTTTAAGAAACTAGAAAATTTAAGGAGGTTATAAAAGGAATACAAGAAAAAAAAGAGCATTAACTGAACTGAAAACTCTGGTATGGGGGAAGTGAAAGCACCCTGTTTTACCCTCAGGAAGCTACTTTTTTCCCCACCCCCAATACATGACTAAAATGGGGCTGACTCCACAATCATATGAGCTAGGTCTAGCTGTTCTGGTCTGTTCTCTCATCCTTGGCCTGGTGGCTTGTTCAGAGATAAACATACAGCCTAGAGCCAGCACTGGCACAGGGAGGGCTAAAAGAGGATGATCCCAAAAACAAAGCTAAAAGAAGAAAGCAGACTGATGTACCAAGAGACCAATTTCTCCAAAGGAAGGTCTCAGTGCATTGCTCCAAGCCTACTCTACCTTCCCTGATTATCAGTTTGGAAACCAATTTCCCTTTTCACTTAAGTTATGACTTTCTTGATTGTTCTAATTTTCTAACACTTGCAAAGATCCCTATCTAAAACACTCCTTTTGACCCAACAGTGGCTCATGCCTGTAGTCCCTGTGATCTATTTGGGAGGCTGAGGCAGGAGGACTGTTTGACGTCAGGAGTTTGTGGCCAGCCTGGGCAGCATAACAAGACTTCATCTCTGTATGTAAAAAGTTCTCTCTCTCACACACACACACATATAAATATACATACATATATATAAGTACTAGAAAATTTTTTAAGTAAAAAAAAAATAAATAAAAAATAAAAAACAACCAACCTAGCCATGCGTGTGGTGGGCGCCTATAGTCCCAGCTACTCGGGAGGCCGAGGCAAGAAAACCACTTAAGTCCAAGAGTTTGAGGAAGTGGTGAGCTATGACACCATGGCACTTTTAACAAGGGGGACACAGTGAGAATCTGTCTCAAAAACAAAAAACAAAAAAACAACCTTCTCTTACAAAGGGGGCAGTCAAAAGATATCATCTATAGTTAATGAAATAAAAATAAATATATATAGTATTACTAAGGTGATCAGAGAGCTAAAAATGATATAACTGTACAAAAAGTTAAAGAGTGAAGTAATGGTATTGGAAAGGAATTCTTCACACATCTCTATGTTTTGCAAAGGCAATGACTAGTGTTTTGGATTATATTTTCAAGGCTGTTCATAGAGCAAACAGCCTTAGAAGATGGTGAATAGACTCATACCAAGACATACATCATCAGGAAATTTCAAACTACTAAGACAATTCTATAATTATCTCAGACTTGCAAACACTCAAAATCCGACCTCCGTATGTATGTCTCAAACAAGGTGATAAACCAAGAAATAAGAATATAGCCAATGCGCTGCACAGTTACGTCTCAGTCAGTGATGGACCAGACATACTGCAGTGGCCCATAAATTCATAATAAATCTGAAAATTTTCTATCTTTAGTGACATTCCTATGTCTCTGTTTTGAAACATTGATGCCATTACGTTACACAGTACGCCTACAGTAGCATACCACATAGCCTAGGTGTGTGCGCCATCTAGGTTTGTGCAGGCACATTCCGGTGTTGGCGCAATGACAAAGTCACTGGACAAAGCCTGTCTCAGACCTATCCCTGCTGTGACACACAGCTGTATATGGAAAAGAGGAGCATAATGGAGGCAAGTCACAGGATGTGAGCTGAGCAGCAGCCCTAAATAGAGTACACACAAATTGTGGTATACCATGGAATACTATGCAACCATTAAAAAGGACGGAGACTTTACAGTTTTTATGCTTACCTGGATGGAATGGAAACACACTCTTTTTAGTAAAGTATCTCAAGAATGGAAAATAAAGTATCCAATGTACTCAATACTATTATGAAACGAATATATCATCGCCTACACATCCATATGAATGATAAAACACAACTATAGTCCAGAAAGAAGGTGGCAAAAGGAGGAAGAGAAACAACGACAGAAAAGTCAGCCAGGCATGGTGGCATGTGCATGCCTACAGTTCAGTTCCAACTACTCAGGAGACTAAGGCAGGAGGATCCCTTGAACCCAGGAGTTTAGGCTTCTAAGTATTCTTCACCAGGAAAGCATGTTGTGTAGTGAAGCTCCTCTGAAGGTCAGAATGTTTGCATTTTATTTTATTTATTTATTTTTTTTGAGTCTACAGTAATTTTATTGTAACAGAGAAACCAGGCTGCAGTGAGTCTACACGATTAGAGCAGGTGGTGGGTTATCTTTCCCAAGGGTAAAGCCTAAGCCCAGCTGGCAGCACACAAAGGCTCCTCCTTTCTGGTACTAACCTGACTCATGATGTGAGATGTAACACTGCACAACCACACTCAACCAAAGGAGGAGATCCATCTGGGCAGAGGCAATATCCCAACAGGAGAAAATTACACAACCATTGAAGAGGATGCTGAGATAAAGTACAGTTACCGACTCTCCACTATTCTTCGCCCAGAAAGGTGAGGGTATGATATTAGCAGAAAATTATGTTCTTCATTCTTCAATCTGATAGGATGGGGTTGTCAGTCAATCAAGCAATAGAATGGGATGAAAGTCTAGATCTTAAAGTCTTTCTTAAATAAGATAAGAAAAAGTATCTTTTGTTTTCCTTGCTGCAGTGGCAGCAGACTCATTGGTAAAACACAATTTCTGCAATATGGTCTGTTGATAAGGTTGCTCCATCATGAGAAGACAAACATGAGGTTGACCATTAAGGACAAAACCAGGTCTTGTCTCAAGGTTGCAAATATGTGCTATTTCTCACGAAGAACCCTTGAAAGAAGATGCTTCAGTTAAAGCTTCTGAAATATTGCAATGGTGTGATTTGACAGTTGTTTTTTTTTTTTGGTGCTATGACTTTCTTGCACATGTAAATTCTTTCAGGAAAGTTGGAGATAAAAAGATGAAGGAGAGTTTGGTTTAGTGCCACAAAGATCCAGATGCCAGCCACAAATGCCTCTGCCCTATGTTGCTGCATGTTCTTTTTTGAGAAACACATTCAGTTGCTGAGTATTATGCGCTATGGTTGAAAGAAATGATATACACCACCATCCACCCTCCCTCACGCTCCATGCGAAGCTCAAAACAGCAGAGGCTGAAGACGGAAAGGTTGTCTCTGTTCCTTCACACCAGGGAAATTACTTAATGACCTGGTGAATGGCATGGGCAAGGTAGCCAACATTGCTGGAGGTGACCCCAGCCACAGAGATCCGGCCATCCTTTGTCATGTAGATGGAGAACTCCTTGGTCAGCCTCTCCACCTGTTCAGGCTTTAGCCCTGTGAAACAAAACATGCCAATCTGGTCAGTGATGTGTTGCCAGTTATGGGAGGAGCCCTCCTTCTTGAGATTAGAGACCAGTTGAGTTTGCATGTCAATGATGCGGTAGGCCATGCCTTCAACTTCTTGCAACCATTGTTTTCGCAAATCCAGGGCGGTCAGAATGGTAGAAGCAATGCGGGCCCCATTTAGAGGAGGATTGGAGTACATGGGACGGATCGAGATCTTCAACTGTGATTCCATCCTTTTGGCTTCCTCTCTGTCTTTGCAGATTACAGTGAAAGCTCCCACATGCTCACCATATAAGCCCATGTTTTTGGCGTAAGATTGGCAGAGACAAACATTAATGCCCTGTTCAATGAAGTGGCGCACAGCCCAAGCATCCTTGATCCCATCACCACTGGCAAAGCCTTGGTAAGCCATGTCAAAGAATGCAAAGAGATTCTTTTTCTTCCCCACTGTAGCTATTTCCTTCCACTGCTCCAGACGAGGGTCCACTCCTGTGGGATTATGGGCACAGGCATGCAGGAGAAGAACACTTTGCTCTGGTATTTTCGAAATGTCCTCCATAGTGCTCGTAAAGTCAAAGCCGCAGGTCTTGGGGTCATAGTATTGATAACCTTGGAGCTGCATGCCAGCATCTCTAAAGATAGGTAGGTGTGTGATTTCCCTAGGTTGGTTGAGGCAGAAAAACATCTCGGCTGAACTTAAACAATCTTTGCAGAAAACTGGCTCTGATCCATAAGGTCCCAGTTCCAGAAATGGTCTGCACTGTGATGAACCGGCCACTTTTCAACACTTCACTGTTCTCACCCAGGGCTAGTTCTGCAGATGCCTTGCAAAATTCAGCCAATCCCTCAATGGGCAGGTATTCCTTATCCAGATTTTTTGCAGCAATCTGGGCCTCTGCCTTACAGACACTAGGGAGCACATAAGGCTTTCCGTTATCATCCCAATAGGCACCAACTCCCAGAGTCATCTTTTTGCTATTGATGTCTCTCTTAAAGGCTTCAGTGACTCCCAGGATTGGATCTAGGGGTCCCATCTCCACATGGGCCCATCAGGAGCTGGCTCTGGAAGAAGCTGTGGCAGCTAGGCCTGGGTGGAAGGCGTTGGCGATCCCAGAGAGAACATGGCCAGAGTTCAACAGAGCCATGGTGGGCAGCAAGAGGGCAGTGGGTGGCTGCCAGACGGAATGGAGGGCCAAGTGGGCCAGAATGTCTGCATTTTAACCCAGCTCCAACACTTATTAGCTACCGTGTTGCCCCCAAAATAAGACCTAACCCCAAAATAAGCCCTAGCAGGATTTCTATGCATTTGTTAAATATAAGCCCTACCCCAATAATAAGACCTAATGATGGGTGTATATCTACATAGCCACACCATGCATTTCAGTGTGGAGAGAAGACATCCCCTGAAAATAAGCCCTAGTGTGTCTTCTTGAGAAAAAATAAATATAAGACAGTGTCTTGTTTTCGGGGAACCATGAAGAGAGGGTGCTTAATGCAAAGGTCAGTTTTCTGGCTCGGCGCC